ATTTAACCTCAGAATTCTGACTTTAAGCTCAGAATTCTGAATTTAATCTCAGAATTCTGACTTTTTCCTCAGAATACTTACCTTAATCTCAGAATGCTGACTTAAATCACCCCACGAAGGAAGAGAAGTGGGAGCATTCAGCTACACTGACAAAGATGTGAGTTGTCTGAGAGGGCCAGTAAAACATTGTTGGAAAATGACGGAATTAGGCAATTTTTTACGTTTCCAAGGGGTCCCCAGTGATGCTTTTTCATTAATGTACGAGCAGAAGGTGATTAAAATAAGAGAGATAGATTAGTCTCTAGACATGGCTATGGCTTGATGCTAACATGTTTGTTAGCTGTCAGAAGTCAGACTCCCCCCCCCATATTAAACTGAAATAATATTAAAAAATTTGTTAACTTTTTTTTTTCAGTGGCACTAGGGTTAGGGTGCCATAATATTACTGTAACAAGCAAGTTAGTCATTGAGGAAATATAATATTTTGACACAATATTTCAGATTTAAGGGAAATAATAGTAAATAGTGTCTTAACTTCAACATCTTACTTCATACTTCATACAAAAAATGAGAATTGAAATGAATATAGCACTAATAACAAATCCTATTAAACCCTTTAAATTTGTAGTGGACTAAGTGGACATCAGTGCCCCTGTTTATGATTTAAATAACATTTTTTATATTATAGTTTGTTGTATTTATTTATTTTAGATTTAGATCTCTGGTTGTCTGAGTTAAAGTTAGATTTGTGATAGAAAGACAATTTATAGATTTGTGAAGATGGGCATGAAAGCCACTCATAAGGAGTTAAATACATTCAAAATCACTGCCTGAAAAGACACGATCTTTATTCTTATGTTCACTTTAATAAGAAATAAACGTTGTCTGGTGAATAAATTTAGGTTAACCAAAAATAAATATCAGTAAAGGTATCGATGATATTTTTTATTTATATAAAAGGCTTGGTTTATTCTAATTCAAGACAAAGCAGAAAAGCTGGGTCATATATTTCCTTTTAAGTATGTGGTTCCAACAAGTGATGACCGTAAATTAAGGATTATTATGGAGAGGAAAATATGCTTTATAAGCATATAAGCTTAGGATGTGATATTTGACAGACCTGAAATATTAAGCAAACTATCTGATATCTGGGTGCTTAACAGTATTTTTCAATGTAGAGCTCTGGATGTTTTTGTTTTGTTTTAAAAAGATGGTTCGTGTTTTATGATGTTTGGTGACGGTTTTTTTTATTTCCTCCTTCTGTGTTTTGTAAGCTATATATTTCTGTTATGTTTTAGAAAAAAATGTTTTGTGCTAAGAAACGACTAAACAATAGAAAACTTTAGTCCTAAAGTCTCAGAGATGGCAGATGTTNAAACGACTAAACAATAGAAAACTTTAGTCCTAAAGTCTCAGAGATGACAGATGTTTTAATGGGAGGGAGGCAGAGGAATCTCTCCACCTCTTTTATCGCACTTAGAAAATAATTGTGGTCACAAAACTTAGCAGAAATTATTCATCATGTTTTAAAGTAATTTTCAAATTAGTTATGTTGGAGCTGGCTCATTTTAAACAATATTATTTTCTTTATTTCCTCTCATTAAGCTGTCATAACAGTGAGCTGCCACTAGGGGGCAGTAATGCGGTTTGTGAGCGGTTGTTTCGTCAGCTGGACGCTCTGCCTGTCAGCAGAAATGTAAACACTTCATTCATGTGCGGAGAATAAGCGTACAGGTTTGTTGAAAATATTTGAATATATGAGTTACTTATTTCGGATCAACTACGGAATAAAATAGATATTTTTGTAGCATAACAAGAGCCTTAAAACACCGCCGTTGTATACTTCCTGTATAGTAAGCTAGCAGCTGGAGCAGATTCAGTTCCATAAAAAGCTCACTGGGTGTTTTCTTGTTTGGTTAGACTTAAATCCACGTCTTAATATCTTATTTTAGATATTTGGGAGCCGCTTAAAGCAACAGTTATTAGCAGCTGAAGAACATCAGTGTTTTTTTCTGTGGACAGAAAATAATCATTGGTGCCTTTTTGGTAAACTTTTTAAGTTAGGCTCAGTTTACAGGGCTGCCAACTTTTCAGCAAACCTTGGGGGGATATTCAGAAATAGTTTGGACAGGAAACCCTGTCAGGATTAGATCAAAAGGCTCTGAGGACAGGTGCAGCTCTAGGTTGGAGGTTTTTAGAGTATTTAACTGAAACAAAGTGTAAGAATGTGGGATTTTTATATGTTTACTGAGTAACAATAAGTGATCCCAGGCCAGCAGAGAAACATAGTCCCTCCAGCGTGTCCTGGGTCTCCTCCTGGGCCTCCTCCCGGTGGAACGTGCCTGGAACACCTCACCAGGGAGACGTACAGGAGGCATCCTAATCAGATGCCCAAGCCACATCAACTGGCTCCTCTCGATGTGGAGGAGCAGCAGCTCTACTCTGATTCCTCCCCTAATGACTGAGCTCCTCACCCTTTCTCTAAGGGAGAGCCCAGACACACTATGGAGAAAACTCATTCCAGCCGCTTGTATCCGGGATCTCGTTCTTTTGTTCATGACCCAAAGCTCATGATCATAGATGAGAGTAGGAACGTAGATCGAGAGGTAAATCCAGAGTTTAGCTTTTTGGCTCAGCTCTCTCTTCACCACAACAGAGCTGTACAGCGCACGCTTCACAGCAAACGCCGCACCAATCCGCCTGTCGATTTCCCACCTTTCTCATCTTCCCCTCATTCGACAATATATTTTATTTTCTATATTCTAGTAGGGCCCATACTTCTTTACTGCATTTCTCTGAAAATCACCAGAATATACAACATATATTGTTTTCTATATTCTGGTGATTTTCAGAGAACTGAAGTAAAAAAGTTTGGGCCCTCCTAAAAAACTTGCATCTTAAATATACTGTAAACTAAGAATTTCACAACTTTGTTCATGAATTATTCTCTGCATTTTAAGTAACATAAACAATGGGGAACTAATAAGTTATCACTGGATTACTTGGACTGATACAAAAAGCAGTGCAGTCGAATCCCATGGAGACTTCACTGAGTATGAATATTTTGTAATAGGCGAAGGATTAAAAAGCTTCATTCATTATATTATTAGTTTTTCTTACAATTGACAAAACGGCAAAACTATTCAGACCTTCTAGGAGGCTGTAGATTTGATAAAAACTCACCATGACAGGAGACAGTTCTTAAGTTAACATAGTTCATAAGTTAACATTAAGTTAACATATCAAATTGACCAAAATAAGGATAAATTAATAAGATAAGTAATAATAAAACAAGAACACCCCTTCGGTTCTCCCTTTATGAATCCTGGATAACTGAGCTGTTCTGCGGTTGGTCTTTTCTTGGGTGGCTGATCTTTTGAAAAATAAAATGCTAATTTTTTTTTTTTCCTTTTTATGGAGCTCCTATGGGTTCGAGAGGCAAACCTGAATTCAAGTATTAGATTGCTTAAAATCTTTAATAAGAATCATCCTAGTGCAGATGAGATAAGATAAACATTAAAATGATGTACCTTGTAAGAACTGTCTTTGCTCAATATCTGGCACAGTGAATAGGTGGGAATACAGACAGGATACGAACCTGTTATGTCCTTATCACCATGGCATTTTTATACATAAATAAGTGGAACAGAATTGAATTTTACTGTCTTTTTTTGTGTGAGAAATTGGGAATATGGAGTGAGAGCGTTTGAAGACACTTCGATGGGTGATTCTCACTCCCAATGGGTGAGAGTTGACAACCCTGTGTTTATGATCTACAATCAGGCTGATTA